TATATATATATATATATATATATATATATATATATATATATATATATGTCCACCAGGCGACCAGCACGCTGGTTTCATTAAAGAGGTTCATGGCATAGAAGTTAACTAGTGAGATCAAAATAAAACACACAGACTCAATTACCTTTTTCTATGACCAGGTCCGAGACGGCTCTCACCTCTCTGGCTCTCACCTCGAACCACCCAGTAGGGCAGCAAGGCTTACTCAGGGCTAGCAGGAGAGAGAGAGAGAGAGAGCACGCCAGGGAGTGGCCTTTTATTGGGGAACAAGAAATTCAGGGGAAAATTCCATCCAATGAAGGTCAAGGGGGGCAGCATTCCAAGGTCAGGGTTAGTGATTGGCCTCAGGGTCCATGGTCAGTCACACCCCCACATGGACAGGCTCTCACACCTGGAGAGGGTGGGGAAAGCTCTGACACAGTTTGGCCAGAACGCCTCACACCCAATCCGGGAGGTGCCCAATCATGTGCGAGAATGGCTTCCCACATATGTGTATGTATATATGTGTACACATATGTGCATAAAATAATTTCTGCTTCATATTTAGGATCTCTTGTCACTTATTCATAATATTATGTAATAAAAATGTTTGAAATTATGAAAACAGCTTGTACATGTTAGTCTGTTTCTGTGATAAAATGCTTGAAGCTGTGTACCTTATAAAGAAAAGTACTTTATTTAGCTCATAGTTCATGGGCATGGCATCAACATTGGCTTGCTTTTGGTGAGGCCCTCATGGTAGATGGCATCACAATGGCAGAGCATGTGTGAGAGGGCAGAGATTACATTGTAAGACAGGAAGCCAGAGAGAAGGGAGGGACCAGTCTTGTCCTTTTTATGACAACCCTCTTGCAAGAACTATCCAGGGTCCCCAAAGTGCCATGTCAATTTCTTCAAGGACAGTCAGTGCCTTCAGTGATTTAAGGACCTCCCATTAGTCCCACCTCTTCAAGGTTCCACTGTCTCTTAACATCACTGTGTCTGGTGCCAAGCTTCCTGCATATGAACCTTTGGGGGATATACTTGAACTATAGAAATGCATAGTAAAACTAATTCAGAAAGTACTAAAAAGATAAATAGTGAAACATGAGTCTATCTTTGATCCAGACCCTAGTTACCTTTGTTTCTTTTTATTTTTTACACATTAACATTTATTCTAGTTCTCTTTCTTAAAGGAAATTCTTATCAATAGTTTTGTGTATTCATCTAGAAAATATTAAGGTTTATATACTTGTTTTGACCAAACATGTGCATATTAAACACATTGTGCTGTATTTTGCTTTTTAAAAATTAATAGGTATATCTCTGAGTTCATATTAGTGTATGAAGATTGAATGCACTCTTATTTATAGGTTTGAACCATTACACAGTATGAATATACCATATTTTATTTAACTATCTCCCTATTAAATAGATATATGGATATTTAAGTTGTTTTTATTTTTATATTTAAGCTATTAATAGCAGAGAACCTCCTTGGGTTTGTGAGTATTGGATAAATTCTTGGTTGTAGAATTGTTAAGTTACAGGATAGGTACACTTTATATTTTCATAATTACAGCCACAACTTATCTTCAAAAAAGTTGTATTAATTTGGACTTTCACTAATGATTGAGGAGATAGCATTACAATTTCCAATACTGGTCAATGACTCTAATCTTAGCTAATACCTTTGGAGCAAGAGAAGGTATTCTTCTTCACATTATTGTAGAGGAAAAGATTAGGATTAAGCTTCTAATTCTGTTAATGTATTTTTTTCAATTTGTATGTTTATGAGCTTTAAAGAATATGGTACAGATAAACCTTTAAATAAAAATTATATGAAGCAGGTTTTACTTTATGATTAAATATCTTTTTTTAATTACAGGTATTTGGCCCATGCCTGAGAAAGAAGATGACTTAAAAGTTTATGCCATGGTTTCTTCTAACTTTGATCCAGTCTCTGTAGGTGTATTCATATATTTTGTATTGAGATCAGAGTTTGTCAGTTTAAATTCTAGGTCTCCCAACAGAAACTTCAGGGAAGATAACAAATTTTAGGCTTTTAATCTTTCAAATAAAAACATTTCTATCTTCTTAATGCCAGTAGGGAGCTTTTGCAGTAGGATTTCAGTCTAAAAAAGAAATGAGGGTATATGGGTATGTGTGTGTGGGGGGGTGAGTAGTAGAAAGATTATTGTTCTGAAGCTATCTTTTTTTTTTACAGAGAGAGAGATAATTTTTTAATATTTATCTTTTAGTTTTTGGTGGACACAACATCTGAATTTTATTTTTTTGTGGTGCTGAGGATCGAACCCAGCTCCGCGCGCATGCCAGGCAAATGCGCTACTGCTTGAGCCACATCCCCTGCCCAATCTTTTTTTTTTTTAATTTAATTTTAATTTAAAAACTTTCTCATTACCATAGAATTGAGATAATTTTAATCCAGATGATAATACCTACTCCACAAGATTTTTGTTGAAGGTTCAATGAGATGATGTTTATAAATGGCCTGGCTTAGAGTTTGATTATTTATAGCATTTAATACTTTTTTTGGTTGGGATGGTGGTAAGGGAGTTTAAGAGTTCAGTTGGTCCAGGAATTATTTTCTCATCCACTATATCTGTGTGATCCCAGGCAAGGTACTTAATTATTTTAGTCTCAACTTTTCATCTGAAAAATGAGAATAATAATAGAATCTACTTTGTTGAATTATTATGATAATTATTATCATCATCATCACCACCACCACTACCACCAAATTGCATTTTACTTTTTCCAACATTGCCACCACCTATGTACCGTTACTTATCTTGTTCACTTGTATCCTTAGTGCTTTCCATATAATAGATACTCAATAAATATTTGCTTTGTGAATGTGTAAAACTAAGAACCAGGAAGAATGAAAGGGAATGAAAGGGGTGACAATTCTTGGTTGTATTATTCCATCTCCTCGTTTAATTTTCTGTATATAGTTTTTAAGAGTATGATTGATTATGTCTTATTGCCTGAGGTTTGGATAAAATCCATTGCCTGAAGCTTGGGTAAAAATCTATTAAGTTAATCCTCTGAAATGGAAATGAGGACAACCACTCCATTCAAAATATCTTCAAAAAAAATAAAATACTTGGGAATCAACCTAACAAAAGAGGTGGAAAGACTTATACAATGAAAACTACAGAACCCTAAAGAGAGAAATAGAAGAAGATCTTAGAAGATGGAAAAATATACCCTGTTCATGGATAGGCAGAACTAACATCATCAAAATGGCGATATTACCAAAAGTTCTCTATAGGTTTAATGCAATGCCAATCAAAATCCCAACGGCATTTCTTGTAGAAATAGAGAAAGCAATCATGAAATTCACATGGAAAAATAAAAGACCCAGAATAGCAAAAACAATGCTAAGCAGGAAGTGTGAATCAGGCGGTATAGCGATACCAGACTTCAAACTATACTACAGAGCAATAGTAACAAAAACAGCATGGTACTGGTACCAAAACAGGCGGGTGGACCAATGGTACAGAATAGAGGACACAGAAACCAATCCACAAAACTACAACTTTCTTATATTTGATAAAGGGGCTAAAAGCATGCAATGGAGGAAGGATAGCATCTTCAACAAATGGTGCTGGGAAAACTGGAAATCCATATGCAACAAAATGAAACTGAATCCCTTTCTCTTGCCATGCACAAAAGTGAATTCAAAATGGATCAAGGAGCTTGATATCAAATCAGAGACGCGCCGTCTGATAGAAGAAAAAGTTGGCTATGATCTACAGTCGGTGGGGTCGGGCTCCAAATTCCTCAATAGGACACCCATAGCACAAAAGTTAATAACTAGAATCAACAAATGGGACTTAATCAAACTAAAAAGTTTTTTCTCAGCAAAAGAAACAATAAGAGAGGTAAATAGGGAGCCTACACCCTGGGAACAAATCTTTACTCCTCACACTTCAGATAGAGCCCTAATATCCAGAGTATACAAAGAACTCAAAAAATTAGACAATAAGATAACAAACAACCCAATCAACAAATGGGCCAAGGACCTGAACAGACACTTCTCAGAGGAGGACATACAGTCAATCAACAAGTACATGAAAAAATGCTCAACATCTCTAGCTGTCAGAGAAATGCAAATCAAAACCACCCTAAGATACCATCTCACTCCAGTAAGATTGGCAGCCATTAAGAAGTCAAACAACAACAAGTGCTGGCGAGGATGTGGGGAAAAGGGTACACTTGTACATTGCTGGTGGGACTGCAGATCGGTGCAGCCAATTTGGAAAGCAGTATGGAGATTTCTTGGAAAGTTGGGAATGGAGCCACCATTTGACCCAGCTATTCCCCTTCTTGGTCTATTCCCTAAAGACCTAAAAAGGGCATGCTACAGGGACACTGCTACATCGATGTTCATAGCAGCACAGTTCACAATAGCAAACTGTGGAACCAACCTAGATGCCCTTCAATAGACGAATGGATAAAAAAAAATGTGGCATTTATACACAATGGAGTATTACTCTGCATTAAAAAATGACAAAATCATAGAATTTACAGGGAAATGGATGGCATTAGAGCAGATTATGCTAAGTGAAGCTAGCCAATCCCTAAAAAACAAATGCCAAATGTCTTCTTTGATATAAGGAGAGTAACTAAGAACAGAGTAGGGATGAAGAGCAGGAGAAGAAGATTAACATTTAACAGGGATGAGAGGTGGGAGGGAAAGGGAGAGAGAAGGGAAATTGCATGGTAATGGAAGGAGACCCTCAGGGTTATACAGTGGAGGAGGTAGAGAGAGAGGAGGGGAGGGGAGGGGAGAGGTGGGGAGGGGGGAGGGTGGAGGACGGGAAAGGCAGCGGAGCACAACAGACACTAGTATGGCAATTTGTAAATCAATGGATGTGTAACTGATGTGATTCTGCAATCTGGGTATGGGGTGAAGGTGGGAGTTCATAACCCACTTGAATCAAAGTGTGGAATATGATATGTCAAGAAATTTGTAATGTTTTGAACAACCCACAATAAAAAATTAAAAAAAAAAAAGAAAATCAGAGTTCTTGGCAAAAAAAAAAAAAAATCTATTAAGTTTATCTATGCTTCTGCCAGAAATTGATCAATTTAGGGAAGTGATTGAATTTGCTCATTTTACATTTGTGGTTCATATCATATAATGTTGCTTGATATTTAAGTATCAGAACATACTATTATAAGTAATTATCATGAGTCTTCAAAGATTAATCTTGTGTAAACAGCCAATCCAAATTGTGATAAAAATCATGTTAACATTCCTGTAGTATAATAAATTAGGTACTCTAAGACTATTTGAAAGAAACATTCACCCCAGATGACTCACATGCTAGAGGAACTATTTTAAACATGAGCCATTTAACACACACCATTTCTTACTCTACCTGAAAGGTAAGCCTGAATGGAACATTTCTACTTAGTTAGCTGACAAATGTACTCACATTTTCTTGCTGTGGAAATGACTCTTTTTTTTTTCCTTTAGGCAACTTACATATTTTTTTCTAGGTTATTTTAAACATAGGCTATTTGGAATGAGGAATTTCTTTCTGTTCTTTGGGAACTTTTGGTCTTATGTAGTGGTGCTTATTGTAATGTATATTTCCCTATTGGTAACCTTGAGTGCTGTTTGCTCTTAAGTAGATGTCTCTTTTCAGCTTCATTTTCCCTATGTTGATATTTTTATTTCTTAAGAATATCATATTCATCCCACTGGAAAACATTAGCCCAACAATTTATGTGGCTGTGGTGCCATGATGTCTTCTTATAGCCATTTTTCTCTAGCTATAATTTCATGTTCCCAACATATGACTGTCCTTGAAAAATCTAGGTGTTTCAACGTGGATTGAAAAGAGCAGGAAACAGGAGGTGTTGGTTTCTCTTCTAGATCTGTGGGCAGCTAAATATGAAACATTTCCTGGATATTAGGTAACTTGGTACTGGCGCAAAAAGCCTGCATTAATATTTTATTTTGAATCATTGTTATGAAAGAATGCACCTCAGAATCAGAAATATAACTTATATTAGAATGGAGTCTTTTGTGGAGGAGAGAAACATAACTATCCCATCTTCCTGTCTGAGCAACTGGACCAGAGTTCAAATATGATCTTCTATGGAACCACAAACAGAATGTGAATCTCCCAACTCTTAATTCTGCTGGTGCCCATTACATCATAGTTTTCTACATTGATTAGAAGTGGCTTAGTTTTCCTAGCAAAAAAATTTTCAAATACAAAAGCACAAAGGGTCTGGTTCATTGGTGGAACACAGACATTATAATCTTAATTGTTCCACAGAATTTATATGGGTATTATTACAATATAAGTTTCCCCTTGGTCTTATTTTATCATACAGTGAATATTCATTTCTTCCCAGTATGCCACTTTTACTCTATAAAATTATAAGAAGATATTTGCCGTATGTACGATGAGTTGTTTAAGAGATAGGAACAGGTAACAATGATGTTCAAAGAGGGCCCATTAGTTCATGAACTATTAGGAAAAGTACTATTCCATTTGTATTTTCTAGGTTTAAGGCCATTTGCCTCTTATTTACATGTCTGAGATACATATTCTTAATCTAAATAAAACATACTTTTGCAAGTTGAAAGGACAAGTACCTAAATGAGTGACATAATGGCATGATGTTCATCTGGGAAATATAAGGAAGGCTTCTTTCATATAATATAAAGAACAAATTAATAAAGTTACTACATTGGACATTCAAGTAAATTTGTACATTCAAGTAAATTTGGAAATAGAATGGTTTGATAAAATATGTGACTTTTCCTTTCCTTTTTGAGGTTTTTTTTTTAAATGTTAGCTAATCTAAAAGCCATACTGAGTCTTTTAGTTATCACTAGAGTGATAAATCCTTTATAGTTAGTTTCTTACTTGATGGTAGGAAGTATATATTGTCCCCAAATGTATTCACTCTTTGGTGGGTAACATTTCTTTTCAATTTTGTGTTTATAGCAAGCCACTGATGTTGAAATCGGAACTGATGTTGTCCCTTCCATCACAGTGCAGGTATTGTACCAGGTTTTAGATTGTAATGTGCCAACAGCATTAAATATTCATCATATTGTCCCTATCGTTACCCTGTAAGAAGTTTATGGAAATATAAAATAAACATTTGAAATTTTCAGATTTTCCTTAACCTTGTGTAGTGAGTAGAAAACCTTCGTTGTTACCTGCAAATATAAAGCTGATATTTGCAATTATTGTAATATACATATAATATAAACCATCATCATGACTTTTTCTACCATTATTTAGATGTGTAGCATGATTCAGGTTTTTTCCCCTAGAAGTAAAATTATCATTTTAAATCTGCTAAAGAAATTGTGTCATCACCATTCATAATGGACCAACCATTTTATTGTAGCATCACATGTAGTAGACTGTGAAATGATATTGGGGAAGCACATGGATGCTAATATAATTCTTATATGTATGGCCATGTATATGTTTGAAAAGAATTCCCAGGCATTCGTATGGCATAATATTAGCCTTATATGGATGTATTTATAGCAAGAAAATATTAAATGAAGAAGCCACAAAGTAGAGTAGTGACAAATTGATAGTCTTAGAAAAATAGAATATGAAGGATGTGGTTTTGCTTAAGATTTTGAGTCCCATCACTGTAGAACTTTAGAACTAGAACTCTAATGTAGAACCTTCTTAAGGCATTTAGATTAGAGTGTGGTAATCAGTCAGCACATTATTAAGCTGAAAATATTTATCACTGCCCAGACCTTGGAAGCCAGGAAAAGTTGTGGATTTTGGCAATTCACTTAGTCAAAACTTGGACAAGTCTTCATATTTTCTTAGATTATGGGTTGCTGTCCTTGGAGAAGCTTGACAGAGCACCAGGCTTTACCAATTGTGTTCGCTTACAGTGGACCCAGCGGGTGGCCCATGTGTGGAGATCTTTGGTTGAAGTTGAAGGGAGCCCAATCTTATAACAGTTTCCTCAACTAATTTTTTTGGATTCTTGCCACTAGAAACAAGGGTGGTCTTTCCTAGTTTCCCTTCCCCCTATCCAATCAAAGACTCTATCTCATTAATACTTCTGAGTCTGGAAAGGAATTAGTGGCAAGAAATCAAAGATATTAAGAAAAAAAAATAACCAGAGATCCAGAAATGATCTATACTTTTGTGTGGACAAGCCTCCTTTTACCTATGTAATATTATTCAGACACATGTGCATACTAATTCAGGAGCACACTGTAAATTGCAAAAAAGAAATCTTGTATCTAAATCAGGTAACATTGCTTATGCCACCTCCACCCCAATCAACCAGGAATTATTGCTATATGTAAATACACTATCCCTCCTTGCGGTTCTGAAGCTTTCATGTGAAATAGCCACCATAAGATGATGGCATGACATGACTGGAAAATTCTCCACTAGTGAAATTTACTATATTTGAGAATGCCAAACTCACAACTCTTTCTCATTGCCATTATGAAAGCATGAGAAAGAATGCAATATAAAAGTGTTACACAAAATTGACTAGACTCACACAGTGGACACAATGATTTCCTGATCCTGTCTGACAGTTTCTATACAAATTTCTGCTATAAATCTCTCCTTATGGCCTTTTATAACAAGAGCAGCCAAGACATATAACCATGTAAGTTTCCATCATAATAAATCCTGTTAATTGAGAAAAATTTTCCATCTGTTCCAAATGAATGAAGATGTGGCTACTTTGAGTATGTGTGCATGATGCGTGACCATCTATTCCAGGCAACTAGGCAGTGAGGTTGTTCATACCTGGTCTTTGAAATCATATTTATATATCTAGAATAAAACTTTGGTATTATATTTCTTCAGATTATATTTCATTTCGTTAGAAGTAGAAAATAGCATGGAAAATTCTCATATTAACATTTTATATGTTCTCCTTAATATTCTATAATTATTTTCCTTTTAAAATATGAAGTCTATGATCTAGCCAAGTCTTTAATTCTTTTTTTTTTTTTTGGCTCAAACACAACTATTCTTTGTTACTGCAGTTATTTTTGTCACATCTTTTTGATTTGTGTTTTGAAAGTGCCTAAACCATTGTTGGGATTCAATAAATCTGTGTATGGGCGCTATCATGATTGTGCATCTAAACTAAATGCAAGCCCTTCTTATAACAGCATAAAATTGTGATTATTGTCTAAAGTAGATATCATTATGCCAGGCAAAGTCAGAATGTCTGCTCCTTTACAAATAGCATATTACTACTTTAAGGTGTTTACATTTTTGGTTATAAAATAGAACTTTCACGTTATATTCCTGGTCACAGTTTTCAGATCTCTAGCACTTATTGACTCAGTGATCTGGAACATGTTTTTTACCTTCTCTGAACCTCTATTTTTAAACTGTAAAACAGGAATCCTTTTTCATTTGCAGAGTTATTTTGAGATTTAACCACAGTTGGTTAAATGTAAGGACTCTTGAGTACTGGCAAATAGCAGTTTAATTGTGATTCTTCCACTTAGAGCAGCCTTGGGAAAATTACTTTGTACCTGTTTTCTGTAGAATGGTGTGTGATAGTGCATACACTGCTGTGAAGATTAAATGAGATTAATACACAGAAATAATTTATTAGCACAGTTTCATGCATATAAAAGCTGCTAATGACTATTATTAATATCATTAATTTTCTTTTAAAATACACATACATGTGTGTGTGTGTGTGTGTATATATATATATATATATATACACACACACACACACACACACACATACAAACTGGCATTGTATCATTGTTGATAGTTAAATACCTGTAATACTTAAATATATTTATTGGGCTAGAATTTATTTACTTATTGAAGAAATTTCTGCCACATGCATACATTTTTCTTGCCATAATTACCATCAGGGTTTTACTAAAAAAGTATTGCATTGTTCACCTTTGAGGTATCATTGAGGAAGTTTTGTTTGTGGCATGCCAAAATCTATTACTAGATTTTTCTTTTCTTTTGGGAGAACATTTTTTTTGACAAATTAAAAGTCAAGGAAGTGCTATTCATTTGCTGTGCTTGTCATATTTGTTTGCATTAATAATTACCTCTTAAAAATTTTGCTTTGCAGTTCAAAATTTTTTACTTGAAATTAACACATTTACTGATAAACATATAGTGCTTACAGGTCTATTGTATATTTTTATATTATATGTATAATATATATCATTACTATTTACTACATATATTTTATAATATAGCAAGGCTAATACATGCCTTTTATTTAAGAGAAAAGCCAAAACTACTTAAATATTTTTTGTAGTTGTAGATGGACACAGTGCCTTTATTTTATTTGTTTATTTTTATGTGGTGCTGAGGATCGAATCCAGTGCTTCATGTATGCTAGACAAGTGCTTTGCCACTGAACTACAGCCCCATCCCCAAACTACTTTTCTTAAAAATAAAAATGTATTTATATTGAATCACTTAATAATGATATATGTCTGTCTCATTTAATAGAATCTAATAAGACTAAACTGCTCCATAGAAAATGTACCACGTAGAATAGTATTTCATTATCAACCAGTGATTCCCTGTTGTGCATAAGAATCACGTGGAAGCCATAGAAACTATCCATATTTGGGTCTGTCCTTAGAGATTCTAAGTTGGTCCAGTGACCCTACCTAGATTGGTGACTATACAGTCTGGTTTACTACACTATCCATGTGTGATTTAAAAGAGACTATTTAAAGAGGCTGGTACTTTTAGGAGACCAAATCCAAAGAAAGAGTATGCCCAGTGGAAGCTAGGTCCTTAAGCCTTTATTGATAGTGTGAAAATAACACTTTTAGCACTTTGACTCAGTAAAGATCCTTGAGTCTGATGGTTTCTACTGACACTCCTGAGATGAAAGTGGGAGAAGTTCTGGCCTTTGTAGCCATATTCACCATATTTTCCAGGTAAACTGATATTCTAGAGTTCTTAGCTCTTGATTCAAAATTAGAGTAGAAAATTAATTAATTAAAAAATTATAGTAGAAGGATTTTTTTAGCATTACAAAGAAAGAGCACAGTCTGGAAATGCAGTCATGTTAGAGATGCAGCAGTCAATATTGCTATTCTTCAATATTTTCTAGAATTCCTCTGTCATATATTTTTGTGATAAGCCATGGAAGAAAATGTGGTGTATCAATATATATTGATACTAGTATAAATCTTTCTAAGTAAGGAAACAATAAGAGAATAATTAGCTGGTATAAAAGGAAATATACTGATATATTAGATAAGATAAATCATGATAGTATAGTTATATATGAAAAAAGAATGAATACATTTATTTCATGATGTAGTTATTCAATAGCTATGAGGGAAGATTTTTCTTTTCTGTTGGTAGATCATTTTTTGACAGCCTTGTAGAGATATAATCCACATACCATATGACTCACTCCAGTGATTTTGGTATGTTTGCCAAGTTGGGCAACCATAAACATGATCTAATTTTAGAACATTTGTCTCCCCCGAAAGTCATATCAATAGCTATCATTCCTCATTCCACCCATCTTGAAGCAACTGCTAATCTACTTTCTTTTTCTGTAGATGTGGTTATTCTACACATTTCATGTAAAATGAATTATACAACATGTGCTTATTTATGACTGGCTTCTTTCACTTATAATATTTTCAAGGTTGACATATATTGTAGCATTTATTGATACTTCATTTCTTTTTTTGATGAATATTAATTTATTGTACAACTGTGCCACCTTTGTTTATCATTCATCTTGATGCAACATTTGATTATTACCACTCATTGACTATTATTAATAATGTTGTTAAGAACTTTTGTTCAAGTTTTTGTGTAGATATGTGTTTTCAGTTCTCTCAGCATGGAATCATGAGCCAGTATGATAAATTTATGTTTACCTTTTTAAGAAATTTTCAAACATTATTTAGTGGTTGTAACATTTTATATTTCCAGTTCTTCCACATTCCTTGCTAACACCAATTGTCGTTTGGTTATAGCCATTCTCGTGTGAGTGTGTGTGAGTGTGTGTGTGTGTGTGCGTGTGTGTGCACACGCTCATGGGCACCCACACTCACTCTCTCTTTCTTTCTACTGGGGATTGAACCCAGGGGTGCTAAATTATCTGAGTTACATCCCCAGCAGGCCCCCCTACCCCACTTTTAAATTTTAGAGACAGGATCTCCCTGAGTTGCTTAGAGCCTCATTTTTGCTGAGGGTGGCTTTGAACTCATGATCCTTCTGCCTCAGCCTCCTGCTAAAGATATTGAGCATCTTTGCATCAGCATCCTGTTTATCTTTGTATCTTCTTTGGAGAAAAATCTGTTTAACTGCTTTGCCCATTTTCTAACTGGGGGGAGTATTTTAGTCTACTATTTATGTTACATGTTCTATTTTTCTACTTCTAATTTTTCTCAGTTTTCCTAATTATTTGCTAGTTATTTTTAAGTAATTATAATAGCATATATAAATTTGGATAAAATGTGATTTTTCTATTAATGTCAATGACTGTTTCCTTAGGTCACACTGCAGAATCGAATTGTATTGCCAAAAGTCAAATTATCCATCTATGTTCAGCCACCATTAGTATTGACTTGTGATCAATTTACCTTTGAATTTCTGGGTGAGTTTGTGTTTTGGCTTCAAGTCTACCATGGTGTGAGGGTTTCTTTCTTGTTTATTAAAAAACAAAAACAAAAACAATATTAGTGTGTTTATTTCAGGGCTACGTTTCTTTTTTAAATAGTGAAGATGAGGCTTTTCTGAAATCAGTGATTATATTGTGTTGCTTATATTTTCCCTTCAAGTATCATACATAGATACTCAATCAGTTATTTTGTTTGGAATACATATTTCTAAGTACTTTTTAAAAGCTGGTTGGATTAGTTATTGTGTTTAAATACCATAATTTGGAAGGATTTCTTTGTTTGTATTTCTCTAGTGACCTGTTTATTGAAACAGTAACATTTGTAGAAAGAATATTAACTTTAGAGTTTGAATCCTAGCTCAACACTCCATGTGTAATTTCAGGAAAGTTACTTTAATAACCACTTGGAGCCGCAGTTATTTAGTTTGCAAAAGAGGATAACAAATGTATTGTTTTGAGGATTTAATTAGAAAAGGAATCTTTGTGGATTTAATCAGAAAATGAATTTGTACAAGATATCCAGCCGGGCTTGGTGGCGTGGCACATGCCTGCAATCCCAGTAGCTTGGGGAGGCTGAGACAGGAGGATCGTGAGTTCAAAACTAGCCTCTGCAAAAGTGAGATGCTAAGCAACTCAGTGAGACCCTGTCTCTAAGTAAAATACAAAATAGGGCTAGGGATGTGGCTCAGTGGCTGAGTGCCCCTGAGTTCAATCCCTAGTACTCCAACCCCTCCAAAAAAGATATCCATAATAATGTCTAAAACAATAGACCTGTCCTAAAAGGCAGCTCTTAGTAAGGATTTCTTTGTATAGCATTATCACCAACTACTGACATCCAGCCTGCCATTAGTCCTGTGAAAATGCTCTTTGAGTTTTCTCTCAAGTCTTTGTTCCCTTCCACCTCCCATATCAACTGATGGCAGCTAATGAAAACTCAATAAATATTCATTGAATGACCAAACGAATGATTGACTGGAGTAACCTTGTATGTGAGGCACAACCATTAGATCTCACTTTCTTTTAAAATATTTTTATAATACTTTCAATTTATTTTTCTAAAACACATTCTGAACAATTTATTTTTCCAGTTAAAAATCTCTTATGGCTTTCTAACACAAGTTGGAGGCCAAGTTCATTAATGCAAAGACATGCAAAGTCTGCTAAGTTCCTACTCCTACATTCATATATAATTCCCCTCTTCCATTTACCCCTACAAACTGTGTGGTAGCCATGATAAAGTACAATTTTTCCCCTAATTTTTCTTTCCCTTTTTGTGCACCTTTTTTTCTGTCTGTTTGCACGATGAGTAGTAATGTCCAATGCTGGATACCTTGTTCTGGAGTCAGTTACTACCCCTGATATTACTTATTTGTTGGATGTTCTTTACCTCTCTGTGTTCTGCTTTCCTCACACATAAAAAAATAGGAGCTATAATGTTTACCTATCTTGTAGGGTTGTTGTGAAGATTATGTGAGTTACTCCATTTAAAGTACTATGACAACATAATAGCCAAGTTATGGAATCAACCTAGGTGTCTGTCATTATATGAATGGATAAAGAAAATGTAGTGTGTATATATAGTGAAATTTTATCAACTATAAAGAAGAATACAATTAGGTCTTTTGCAGGAAAATGGATGGAACTGAAGAGTAATTCTGAATAAAATAAGTCAGAATAAGTCAGACACAGATGTGGAAGCTAGAAGAAAAAAAATAGCAAGCAAATAACGAAAAATTATGCTTTATATGTATAATAAGAATTATAATGCATTCTGTTGTCATGTATTAAAAAATAAAATCAATTAAATAAAAAAATGAAACAAAACAGGTTAAAAAAAGAAAAAGGGTCTTCTTGAAATTAGGGAATGGAAGGGGTTTGGACAAGGGGGGAAGGAAGACTAGGGAGGTATTGGAGAGTGAAATTGATCAAATTATATATTTGTGTATACACAAATGTGCCACAATGAAACCTACTCTTCTGTATAATTAATGTTCACTAATGAAAATGATTAAAAAATAAAGGACTTATGACAATATTTGGCATATAGTGAATACTTAATAAATTTTAACTGTTATTAATAACAGTTGACCTGATTATGTAATTTACATTACTTTTATTTTATTTATAGCACCAGAGATGATTAGCACAGTATCCTTTTCTGTTTATTTGAAAAGAAGTTATACACCATCTGATTTGGAAGGAAATGCTGTTGTTTCTTATTCTAAACCTACAGGTAAACAGTGGTTCACACATTTGCAAGCCTATTTATGCCTTTAAATTGTTGGAATTATCAGTTAAATGATGATGTGTTTAAGATGGGGAGACATGTTGCAAAATATAATTTAATAAAAACCTGCTCTTTTGTACTGTTAAATGAACATTCAGGTTTTAATTACTTTTATATGTTAAGAGGAGTTAAGTACATTTAACTGAATTCCATACATAATGTTTGGTTCCTTTTTGCAGTTAATAGCAAATTCAATATATTTTTATTCCCACTGGAAAAATGTTATTGTAGATCAAACTTCATTTACTTGAACTAAAGAAAAGCCTAGTCTAACTTAGTTAAAACAAGAAAAGGATATTATGGATTACTCTAACATGGCAGTATTCAATTTTAGACAATATTCTGGTGACTGTGTAAGACTCCTTAGTATTTTATATGTTAAAATATTTAAGAACAAATATATTAAAATTTGGTCTGTATTTTTTTCAAAAAATCTCTTTTAGATTTTTAAAGGTTGCCAAGTAAGTTTCAATCATTTTAAATTTCTATTTGATTGAGTCCAACTTGATAAGTATTATTTCTTTTTCTTTCCTATGTATTGAATTCATCCATGATAACAGTATGACATGAGTTTGGTAGAAAATTAAACTTAGTAGTCATTACTTTTTTAAATGCACTTTTAAGTGTAGTATATTTGATAATAGGGCATTTCAACAATATTAATCTTTTTAAAAGTGTTCTGTGCATACATATATATTTTAGTTTTAAAATTGCTTATTCATGTTTTTTTCCTAACCATTTATGTCCATTTGCTTACTTGGTGATTTTTTCATATTTTTAATTTTTTCTTTGTCTGAATTTTCTTGCTTAGTCAATGATAAGTCTATATGCTTTAGTATGACTTTATAACCTACATATATGCTTTAGAAATCTATTTCTATTGCTTTGTAAAGTATTTTGCTTTAAAAATTGTTTTAAAATTTTATTTTTAGCTAGGAGTAACCACTTTAGCCATATACCATATTTTTTAAAATTTGTGGTTATAGACATATTTATATTTAATGTTTAAATAGCTTTGATGAAATTTGTTTTAAAAAGAAAGAAAAACTTCATAAAGAATTAAGGAATAATGGACCTTTTGGTTGGATATTTCTGAAATGAACGTTGAGGCTTCTCTTTTCCTCCATATAGGGGTTGAACCTAAGGCACTAGTCAAGTGGTATACCACTGAGCTACATCCCCAGTCCTTTTGATTTTGAGACACAGTCTCAATAAGTTGCCCAGGCTGTGCTTGAATTTGTTATTCTGTGCCATAGCCTCCTGAGTCAGTGGGATTATAGGCATTTGCCACTTCACCTTGCTAAGATTTTCAATGTTATTTTCATTTTGACACATGAGATAAAGAAGCAGAAATATTTGGTTAAGATCTCCAGAACAATTTTCATTAATTGAACATTTCAATAATTGTCAGCATATCACACCTTGCTACATTGTTGAATATACAGTTGGAAGTCTGCTAATGCTTTAATTTCAGAAATTCTTTCATTCATTTTTTAAGGAAAACTCATGATACTGGTTGAAAATAAATTTAAAATAGAGAAATGGGTCATTAAATATGGGCAGAATGTTTCAAAATACATTATAAAGTTGTAAAATCAGACTCTGAGCTTATGGTTGCACATACCATTTGGGGCTACTATGCTTTTTTATAGATGAAATTTAAAAGATTATAAATTATTCCTGGGACAGAGCACATAGATATTAATTGGCTGAAAGTGCATTAGAAATTAAATGTTAAGAAAATTATGTAAACATAAAAGAATACCAAGCCCCTAAACCCCAAATAAACATTGCTTCAGAGTAGTATCTACTAAAATTATTTCAAGCAATAGTGATAGGAAAGATTATGTATTTGTCCATTTAGTTGTTTTCCATCTAATATTCTTGATACCATTTACATATTGAGTACTTTTTACATATTGAGTACTTTTTGACTAGATCAGATATCTTTACCTCTTTTTTACCACATTTAACACTGGAATAACACATTCATGGACTCCTGAGTGCAAATACATTGTTGGATTACATTTATTCAAGCCAGCCTCTTCAATTATGAATACTTTGTGTTCATTTAGAGGGCATCTACACCATCTGTGAGAATATCTTGAAAATTTTAACTTATATTTTAAACAGATGTTTATTAAATTTATGTTGTAACCTTACTGCAGATAATCTGTTGCATTCTTTCTCCTCTATCCCCTTTTGCATTACATCTGATGGATAGATCGAAATCCTGATGGTAAGTGAAAAGATAATTTAGAAAGAGATGAATTTCAGAGCTGAGATTTGGTTGATGAGCATTATACCATAAATGAACTGTTTTATATAGACTGCTGTTTTAATTTTACAGACCTCTTTAGGATAATGTGGTGATTTGATCCTGCTGTGGAGAACATAGTAGCTATTTCCATGAAGAGTTAGATCATTACTAGTTGTTTCAGAGTAATGAAAAAGAACAAAGTTAGGAAAAAGAACAGAATGGCTCCTTTTGAAAAACATTAAAGGATGTAATTGTCAACTTATTGCTCAAAGTGTTTTTAGTTTTTATTTACAAGCGTACTTGTTATTATTTACATGCTTTGTTATTTTTACTTAAGAAAAAAATGAAGAACAAAGGTGCTTGTCATTGAATTCTAAATTGTCTATTTTCTACATGCCTCAACAGATCCACCTTTCTCTCTGATAAAAATGCTGGGTATACTCACTCTGTGGGCCTCTTTCTTGTCTTGTTTAGAATTTGTGGGGGACTATCATCAAATTCTGGGCCCATTGAACTTGCTTGGGTCAAATGTTGTTACTCATTTCTGCACACCTCCCCAAATCCTTTGTTTGACTCTGCTGTAATACATGTCATAATGGGAGTTTTATTAAATTTATTTCTTATGCTTTCCTAATAGATTTTGAATTATTTGAGTGTATTGATATATTATGCAATATTAGGGTACACAGCAGGCACTAAAAGTATCTCTTACTTTCATTACTTCTTTCTAGATATCTAACTTCATATGGTGGTTTATTTTTATTAAAGATACTTTTGTCAAGATAAATTTTAGATAATATTAATTGATTTGTAACAAATATAATTAAAGTACTTAACAGAATATTTACTGGCATGATTTTAGTAATGACAACAATTTGAGTCATATAACAAATATCTTGATACCTGAAAATGTATTTATATGAGAAATAGCTTAATAGAAATAATGTTAAATTATAGTTTAATTCATAAAAATTCTTTTATTGATAATGAATATTTACATTTTAATTCTCAAGATTGTATGCAACTGATAAGATTTTGGATTAAATATTATAAAATAGAATATTAATTTTAAGTGATTAGCTTTAAGTTGAAAAACGCCAGTAATGTTTTAAAGAAATTTATTCTTTTTTACTGTAAATTCAGCCGAAACTATGAGAAAAAGAATCACAATTTATGGAAATTTTAATGTTTCAATACAAAACTAGAACTGGTTTTAATAATTTCTTCTGATATATTTAAAATTGTAATTAAGCTTGAAGGGAGTATATTTGAAATATTCAGCTACATGAAGTAGGCAAGAAAATAATATGTAGCCACTTGGGCTTACATGCAAGGCTTCGTATTTCAAAGACTGATCTTTATTGTCCTGATGTGTCCAGGTTATTTTGTAGATAAGCAGTTCTGCTTTTACATGTGGAAAAAGAGAAGCAAACAAGGTTTTATGTTGTCCCACAAGAGTTAGTCTCCATTATTTCTGCATTAAAGTTACATGACACGGGCAGTGTAAAACATGATTGCCGATGAAGCACAGTACGTAGCCAGACATAACAGGAAGGGATCAAGGAAGTTCTGGCTACCAGACATTGCTACTGCTTTGGGGTTCCTTGTTTTCAATAAGAAATTACTCTAGCAGGCCCCTGGAAAGAGTTCTAAGATATTATATAGATGTGTAATGTATAGATGTAGTTATCCTACTTTAATATAGATGTATGTTCTTTTTTTCTTTTTAAAACACATTTTGGCTTCCTGTTTGACAGTGATACTGGACTCTTGGGTGTGCCAGGTGTAATTAGAATTCTCTTCCTGGAAAAATTGTTCTGTCAGGAGTGGTTTTGATGTGAATTTTCTCTCTGAGTGCTAAATAATTTTGTGATTAATTGCACTGTGTTAGTTGCGACTAACCGTTTCCTCTAGTAGGTTAGGGGAAGGGAAGTGTTTGAGGGAGAAGTGATTATATTTGCTTAAAAAAAACCCTGCAGAAAAAAGTCAGACTGGTGAATGATGAGGTCAATATTTGAGTAAATACATGTTGAAATTTTCTTTTAGCTTACCAGAGTTAAGTAGGCCAGATATAGAGACTGTTTTGCGTACTACATAGAGGAAATACTGCAGATAATAGGCAAAGTCAGGCCCAGTTAGGCTCTTTCAGTTAAGTTGAAAGCTGTTCTATGAACAACCTTGAAAAGTCTTTAAATACATGTAATTCTTTATTACAGACAGATGTGTGCGCGCGTGTATATACACACATACACACACACTCGTGCACGCGAGCATGCCTCTACTGGTCTTTGACTTCAGTCTTTACTATGGTTACAACCTGAAGAGTAATTGGAAGCCAAATTTATACTTTAAACTGCTCAAGAAAATGTAAACTCCAATAGAAATGTGCCTCAGATAACCCATGTTTATGTACTAGAGATTGTATTTTGAAATGCTTGAATTTCAGTTTGATGGGTAATATCATAAATTAGTGGTATTCTAATTTTTTTTCTAAAGGTATGGTTTCCTTAATCTGGTTTTTATAGGTTGTCATTTTCATTTTTTTCCCTAAAGGTAAAACTTTTCAAGCTGCCATCATTTAAAAAATAGCCATAATCATTTTATTTAGTATGAGTGTCATCATTTTTCAAAGTAATATTTTCCAAATGTCCTATGAAGCAGGTTTACAATTCCTGGGGAGAAAAGAAATTCTGGAGAGGTTCTACAAATCTTAGCAACTACAGATCATTGCCCTAATGTGTGATATTGTCATTAAGTGACCTAACTGAATTGTGAATTGAGTTCTAATGTATTTTCCTCCTTGGGTTTATTAGTGCTTATAATACATTTATTTCTGTTTCGGAAAGTGCTACAAGTTCTTGAAGATTTAGGATAATAATCTTCAAATAAAGAGACTCAGTAATATAAAGCTAGTGCTGTTGATCATCTTAATTTATTTTTTAACCATGAATTCAGTATGTACCTGGTCCAAGTGACGTAGAGGCTATGGTGCAGTTTTAGAAGAACAATTGGAGCCAACTTTTGTTTGAACATTTAGCTTAGAATTTGATATTAGAAAATGTATATAAGATAGCTTTCCTTTGTGTATAGATACAATTTTCAGGAGTTGGCTGTTGTACTACTTGTTAAAATGGAAAAAAAAAGATCTCTATTTTTTGTTCTTTTCAGACCATATCTATTAATTAAAGTTGTAATTTTTTTTGTGGCAGAAGCATATTCAGTGGGCACATTTTCATAATTTAGGGATATATAGAATATATGGAAATTTCCTTAAAGTTGGAAAAAGTAGTGCTTTATAATTTTTTTTATGATTTTTTTTGTGTGTAGTGATATTGATAGTTGTGGTTTGACCAGTGTTTTAGATCATGTTACCATACTATTTGGATTCAAAACATTTCATCATTGTAAAGTATAAATACACATGCCTCTAAAAACCTCACAGAATGTCAGGAAATAATACCCTGGGATTTTCCTTGAGAGACACCAGTTATAATTTGCATCTAAGATTCCAGGAGAAGTGAATTTAACATATGTTGGTTATGAACAAAAAATGAGCTAGGTAAAATTTGATGGATAATAGATTATGCTGAAGAGAATGACAAATATGCTCCACATGCTCTGAAAAAGTATTTAATTGGCCTCATATATCAATATTCTTGCCATTGTTGATGATCTCTCACTATCCTGGTGAATAAGTAGTACTTAAAAGTGTATTCCCAGCCTGGATGTAGAGTAAGCCACACAATTTCAATTGTCATTAACAAAATATATTGCTAATTCCAGCGATCCTGCTCTGGGATCATGTCTCCATACTTATAACTGCTTCTGCTTTTGCTATTTTTAAGCTGCTCACTGACTACACTGTGAAGAAATAAAGGAATTAATGTGTAAATCCATCAAGTAGAGTAGTACATTTTGAGCTTTCCACTTCTCTGCGTAGTATGAAGTATGCTAAGATATAGACTTGTGTATATTATCTTTTATCTTTAATCCTATTCAGTCAAAAATTCAGTTATCTATTTCAATATGAATATATTGAAAACATTTGACAATTGAGTGATAGGAAAGCTTTTCAGAATGTCACTTAAAATGATATGCAAAGTTAAATGTCTTAAAAATGTAATATGAAAGTAGTATTATTAATACTAATGTGTAAAATGGACATGGACTTCAGTAGAATGTCAGTAGAGCAAATCATGCTTTCATATTCATCATTAATTAAAAATGGTTAATATAATTTGAAGTAAGACTACTTAAATATTTAAAATGTTTTGATAGAGAATATTTTAGATATGGTTGTATAGAGTCTTATTGATACAAAATTCAGATTTTTTTTTTGCTCATTTTAGCTGATAGTCTTGGATTAGAGATTGAGCTTTGAAGATTTTAAAGACTTAGTTTAGTCATTGAATATAAGTAACTATAATGATTTTTATGGTTTCCAAATATGATGATGTAAAAATATGATACTATTATTAAATTTCTTATGCCTATATTTCTTTTAAGATTTTATTTTTGCTTTGCACTTTTAAAAAATATAAATCAGGATGGTGTTCTACAGTCATTGTCATTACACTAAATAAATTGGGCAGGCAACAGACTTACAAATTAAAATAAGTTACTACTCAAACTACAATTATTCTTTGCCAAATTATTTGTCAGATCTATGGATCTTCCTGTCTTTTCTTATTTCAGGCACTCCTCGAGTTGTCCAGTGTAAATTTAGACTTCCTCTGAAATTAATCTGCTTACCAGGTCAGCCTTCAAAAACTGCAAACCACAAACTAACTATTGATACCAACCAATCTCCAGTCAGTCTTCCCAGTCTCTTCCCAGGTAGGACTTTTGAACTAACATGCCTGTAGCAGCAGAAATGTTAAGAATTTTTAATGGAATTCTTCATTAGCAAGTAATGATAGAGCAATTATCTGATAAGTGTTAAATAAGAATATAAAAATGCCTCAAAGACTTTTCCCTCATTTGACCTGTTCAAAGGCGAAATGGCTTATATCAACAAGGTAATAAGTTGTACCTTTTAAGTTTGATTAAAATTATTATAATCATTATTTTGCTTCAGTATTCAGAAATAAAAACTTTTTAGATTGGAATTTGGGGCTTGTAAAGTAAATATTCATTATTTATCTTTAGTGTGGATTTTTGACATATCCTCTTTTTAAGAATATAAATATTTAATTCTTTATCTTCATGTGGGCCTTTGGATATGTACCTTTTTAAAGTATATTCTTTCTTAAAACTATTTTTAGTTGTAGATGGCCACAATACCTTTATTTTATTTTATTTATTTATTTTTTATGTGGTGCTGAGGACCGAACCCAGTACCTCACACATGCCAGGCAAGCACTCTACCACTGAGTCACAACCCCCGCCCGAAAGTATATTCTTATATCCCTGAAAAGTAATCTCATATAAGTAGGTGCTCTTTGTGGTTCTCCTGTCTACAGTAGCAGGAGGGAACATATGTTCATTCTGGTCATTTTGTGGGGCTTATTTAGGGCTCCAGTATCACAATGATCATTTGGGGTAATTTGTCAAGTTGTGACTTTTTCCAAGTCTCAGTTTTTCTGAGTAGTTTAGACAAACAGAAGCTTTGATTGGATAAAGCATCTTTATTAATCAAGGTTTCTAATGTATCACATCCATTAACTTTCTTGGTGATGGGTGGAATTAAAGAAAAAATTATGGGGATTAAATCACCCTTTTAAGTCCTTCATTAAAAATCAGCACTGTTGACTATGAGATGTACCCTCATCCTTTCATTTGTGGATAGGATTTAGAATACAGAGAATATTTCCCACAAGGTTTAGAAATTTATGATAAGTCAACTTTTGTGTTATTAATTATGTAAAGTGCTTTAAATTTATTTTTCATTAATTTGAAGTACTTAAAAAAACTTTATTTATATGTAACTCTTTGAGAACATCTCTAAAATCAAATATTCTTTATTAAAATTATTCTATTCTTAAGTTTGAGTCAAATGTGTGTATATATTGCTAGTAAATATTCCTTTATACTTACTCAGATTGAATAAAAATACATACTTTTGAATAGGGAGGCTGAGGCAGGAGAATTGTGAGTTCAAAGCCAGCCTCAGCAAAAGTGAGGTGCTAAGTAACTCAGTGAGACCCTGTCTCTAAATAACCTACAGAATAGGGCTGGGGATATGGCTCAGTGGCCGAGTGCTCTGAGTTCAATCCCTGGTATCAAAAAAATAAATAAAATAAAATTGTCTGCAACTTTGTGGAAAATCATGTGACCATATTAATATGGGTATATTTTTTGCTTACTTTATTTTGTTCCATTGATCTATTTGTCTATGCCCACCAACATTGCTAAATATTAATAGCATACTGTCTTGATTATTGTAATTTACAATAAGTTTTGATTTCAGGTATTATAATATTTCCAACTTTATTCTTGTTTTTTCAAAGTTACTATAGATATTCTAGCTTTTTTTCATATAAATGTTAGAATCAATTTGTTAATTTAAAAATATCCTGCTGGGATTTTAATTGGGATTGGGATTGCATTGATTGCATAGACCAATTTAGAGAAAATTAACATTATAACAATATTGAACAAGATATAATTTGCTCTACTTATTCTAGTTTATTAAGATGAAAGTACAGATCTTCATCTATTTAGGGCTATTTCATTTCTCAGGGAGGGTAACTTTTTCAATGTATAGGTCTTACAAATATTTTATCATGTTTATTCCAAATTATTTTATATATTTTGATGCTATTGCATCACTTTCAAATTATTCTTTGTTGGTACATAAAAATAAAATTAATATGGTACATGGGTTTTGTTTGATGCAACATTGTTAAGTCACTTGTTGTTAGTTTTTTGTATATTTAGTTAGATTTTCTATGTAGATGATCATGTTATTGGCAAATGAAAACAGTTTAACTTTTTCCTTTCCAGTCTTGGTGGGTTGTTCTTTTTTGCCTTAGCTAGAACTTCTGGGGTGATGTTGAATAGGAACAGTGAGAGTGGACATTCAGTTTTTCATTAAGTATGCTTTGCTACAGGTATTTTGTCCTTTACTGGGATGAGGAAGTTACCTCTTGTCTTAGATTTTTAAGAATTTTATCTGAAATAGGCATTAGGTTTTTAAAGACCTTTTTTGTATCATTTGAGATATAGATATCATTGTCTTCTTTAATTAGTTAATATGATAGACTACTTTGATTAATCTTTAAATGAATTCAACTGCATTCTTGAGATAAATTATACTTGATCATGATGTATTAACCTTTTACCATGTTGGTGGATTTAATATGCTAAACTTTAGTTTAGAATCAGTATCTATGTTCTAATGATGTGTAATTTAGGTTCTCTGTAATTGTGTGTCATTAATGTGGGGTTTGTGGAATGAAGTTGAAAGTATTTTCTTTGCTACATAGAATTCACCAGGAAGTTATCTGGACCTAGCGTTTTCATTATAGCTTAGTTGATTAGTTTTTTTTTTTTTTTTTTATATCAGGGATTGAACCCAGGGATGCTTTACCAGTGAACCATATCCCCATTCCTTTTTAATTTTTATTTAGAGACAGGGTCTCACTGAGTTACTAAGTACCTCACTGAGTTGCTGAGGCTGGCTTTTGAACTCACGAAGTTATCTGGACCTAGAGTTTTCATTATAGATTAGTTTATTAGTTGTTTTTTTTTTTTTTTTGTACCAGGGATTGAACCCAGGGATGCTTTACCACTGAATCATATCCCCATCCCTTTTTAATTTTTATTTAGAGACAGGGTCTCACTGAGTTACTAAGTACCTCTCTGAGTTGCTGAGGCTGGCTTTTGAACTCGTGATCTTCCTGCTTCAGCCTCCGTAGCCCCTGGATTATGGGCATGTGCCACTGTACCAGGTTTATAGATTAGTTTTTAAACTACATATTTGTTTTCTTCCTCAGATATAGGAGTATTCTGGTTATTTGTTTCTTCATTAGTGAGTTTTAATAATTTTGTCTTTCAAGGAATGTGTGTTTTTTAATTCATTGCCATATAGCAGGGTATTGTTTTCAGGACTTATTCTTGTTATCAAAATCTGCACAGACTCTAAAGTCTTTTATAGAAAATGGCATAGTATTTGTATATTACATACACACATCCTCCTATATACTTTAAATCATCTCAAGATTATTTATAATATCCAATACAATATAAATGCTATGTGAGTTATTGTTACACTCTATTGTTTAGGGAATAATGACTAGAAGAAAGGTTTGGCATTCCCAATAGCTAGGGGGAGATGTCTATACATGTTGAGTACAGAGGCATTAAAATTTATTATTTTTTTAACTTGTGTTTGGTTTAATCTGTGGATGTGGAACCCATGGATATTGAGGGCTGACTGTTGTTATTCATTTCCACTGTTGGAGGAAAACATACTCTGTATTACTTGAATCCTTTTAAGTTTATTGAGACTTATTTTATAATCCCTATCTGAGACTTTCTTGATAAATGTTCTACATGTACTTGAATAGAATGGGTATTTTGTTGTTTGATGGAATCTTATATATCAGTTAAGAAAGCTTTCTGATAGTATTTTTACTCTTTTATATTCTTACTGATTTTAATCTACTTATTATCTTAGTTATTAGTAATAGGTTGTTCAAATAAAAAAAAGAAAAGAAATCATTGATATAGATTATAGTGCTCTTCAAGATTTACACTTTTATATTATCCCTCTTGCCTTTTACCTCCTGTTGTAAGAAATAGCTGACCTTTATTTTATTTTTTTTGTACTGAGGATTGAACCCATGCACATTTAACCTCTGAAGCACATCCCAGCTTTTTTTTTTTTTTTAATTATTTTCTATCTTGGGCCTTGCCAAGTTGCTGAGGCTGGCTTTGAACTGTGATCCTCCTGCCTATGCCTCCTGAGCTGCTGGGATTATAGGCATGCACCACCACACCTGGCCTGTAAATTGATTAAAAAAAAATAGTTACTCCTTCTCACTTCTGGTCCCTTGCACATTTTAAATATATAAAGAAACAAACCTTTAACAGTTATTTATTTAAGGGGCCACATTTACTGACATTCATAAGCCTAAACACTACTCAAATCAAGGATCTTAATCTTCTGGGCTTCTGAAGCTCAGAAACAATGTTACAATATTTTTCTTTTTATTTATCTGTTTGTTCTTTTTGTTATGTATGACATTAGGATACATTTTGACATAACCACAAATGCATGGAATATAAGTTGCTTTAATTTAGTACCCAGAACTTCTCCCTTCCCTCCTTCTCTCTCCCTCTTCTCCCATCCCCTCTCCTCTACTGATCTTTCTGTGATTTATTTATAGTTTTTTAAAAAATTAGTGTCTATGGATATACTTGATGTTAAGATTAGCTGTGGTGTATTCACGTATGTGCCTATGCGGATTCTGTCCGATTCATTCCACTGCCCTTCCCCTATCCTGTCTTTTCTCCTCCCTCTCAATTCCCTTAGCTTACTCTACTAATCTTTCCTGTATTATGAAGGAACTCCCTCTCCCTTTTTTACCTTTCTCTCTTTCTTTCTTCTCCCTCAACCCCACTCCATTTTGGATTAGCTTCCACATACCAGAGAGAATATTCAACCTTTGACTTTTTGGGACTGAATGCTATGATTTTCAAACAACGATGAAAGATATATATATATATATATATATATATATATACACACACACACACACACACATATGTAATATATATGTATATATATGTGTATATATGTATGTATGTATATTTGGTTAAAAATATATACATTATATATATAATGAACAATGAATATAATTGTACTACAAATAAAAATCTGGAGTCATTTTAAATATGAAAAAAAAATAGTTTGTTCAAATCTTTGGCTCTTCACTTTTTTTTTTTTTTTTGGTGGGGAGGGGGTACCGGGGATTGAATTCAGGGGCACTCCACCATTGAGCCGCATCCCCAGCCCTATTTTGTATTTTATTTGGAGACAGAGTCTCACTGAGTTACTTAGCACCTTGCTGTTGCTGGGGCTGGCTTTGAACTCGCGATCCTCCTGCCTCAGCCTCCAGAGCTGCTGGGATTACCTGTCATGGGCCACCACACTGGGCTTGGCTATTCACTTTTCATTTTTGCATTTCTATCAGTTTTTGTTATGTATATTTTAGAAGTCTGTCATTAGGTATGTAGAAGTTTAGAATTGTATGTTCTCTTAATTGTTATGAAGTGGTTCTCTTACTCCTTGTTAATATTTCTTGCCTGAAATTTACTTTGTATGATGTTAAGATAACTAGTGTGACTATGGCACATATAATTTTCTCTTTTAAGTTGTTTATGTATTTAAAGTAGGTTTCTATAAATGATGCATAACTGAGTTTTTAAAATCTGATATGTGCCTACTTTTGAAAATAATTTTATTTATTTAATTGATAAATAAAATTTTATATATTTATAATGTGCAACATTATGTGTTTTTACATGTGAGTGGGTGTGTATACAGCTATGGCACTCTCTCTGGGATTTCCTGGCAGGAGTGGCTATAGGTTTCCTTAGTAGTAAATGACACCAGTGTACTCTGGATAGCAGGCCACTTGGGACCATGGTGGTTCAAATTGCATGACTATCACTGATAACCTTTCTTTATTTCTAACTATATATAGGCATCTCAGGTACACCGCTATTACTAGTTTTTCTTTCTAGGTTGCTGCAGATTCTTAAATTGGGCTATTGAACTCTCTCAGGGCTATTTTGGTTGTGGATAGCTGTCTACATTCATTTTCTTCCTCCCTTTCTCCCTTCCTTATTTCAGAGAGATGAAGGCTACCATCTCTTACCTCATCATCTTGGGGATATCCTTTATTCCTTTTGATGTTGTTTACTGTTTTCTTCTGTCTGCCATATAGTTTGTAAATTGGTAGTAGGATCTAGGGTTAGCAGAGGCAGGATTAATTATTTTGACCAGAGTTCTTCATTGGTGGTAGTATATACTTTCATCAGGGGCCATATAATATGTGTTTGTCTCTCTTTGTGTGTGATGGTCTAGGGATTGATATTCAGTTCTGAGATCTATTCCGTTAGAGGCTGAAAAATGGTATTATCTTACTTCATTCAAGCTTTCTTCAATTTTGAGCTAGAATATTTCTATATAGAGAACCTTTCCCTTAACCAGTATTATTTAAAATAATGCAGTTTGAATGGAAGTGTTTGTTTTTTCTTTTTATTAGTAGTTTAAAAAATACAGATGGTTTCAACTTATGGTGGTTTGACTTAATGATTTTTCAGCATTTAGGAGAAACCATACTTCAAGTTTTGAATTTTCATATTTTCCTGTAGTAGCAATTTGTTTTATGATACTCTTGCTTTTTGGGGCAGCTGTCAGCAGTAAATTCTACTCAGCCATGTAATCATGAGGGTAAACAATTGATACTCTACACTGTATTATGTTGCCAGTGTTTTTTGGATTCAGGTTGTCATCAAATTATACGAGATAATTGTCACTTTGTTATCAAATAGATTTTGTGTTAAATGATTTTTGCCTAACTATAAACAACTATGAATGTTCTGAGCACATTTAAGGTACGCAAAGGTAAGTTATGATGTTCAATAAGTTAGGTGTATTAAATGCATTTAAAAAATTTTTTTAGTTGTAGATGGACACAATACCTTTATTTTATTTATTTTTATGTGATGCTAAGGATCGAACACAGTACCTCACATGTGCCAGATAAGCATTATAACGCTGAGCTAAAACCCTAACACTTAAATGCATTTTGACTTATGATATTTTCAGTTTATGTTGGATTTATCTTAACATAATCCCATCATAATCTAAGGAGCATCTATATTTGAAATAAATACAGATGAATCAAATAGAGGTGATTCTCTATATAGTCTGATAGTGACCATTTGTTTTTGTTTTGTTTTTAGTATCAGTATAAATACATACCTTTAAATATGTTTGATGTTTCATTTTATTGCAGCTGTTATATTTTTTGATCCTCAAATATTTTGTCTGTGGCTAGTTGTAGCCTCTTTTTTTAAATTAGAGCTTTATGGTTATACACAGTAGTTGGGTTCATCCTGACAAACTCATACATGCATGGAAATTGATTTAGTGATAGCCTCTTTAAGTTGGTTCCCAAGTCCTTTTCATCGAATAGGTTCCTTGCTGTCTGCTGTGGCAGTATATCTTAGGTTCTCTTGGGCACGATCTCCCTCAGACCCAGAATTAATCACTAGAATAAAAGAAATGAAATCTTCCAGCATGTTACTCTGAGTCAGAAATTTCAGCAATTGGAAGCTACTATGAAAATCAAAGTTAATATATTATCGTTAATACATGGACTTTAAATATGGCTAATGTCATAAAAATATATTCAGCTAAATTTCATATATTAAGTGTTAATTGTGTCTTCTGTTTATGTAATATGTTTTCTTTTTTCTGTAGGTTTTGCCAATCAGTCAGATGATGATCAGATCAATGTAATGGGTTTTCGATTCTTAGGTGGCTCCCGAGTTACTCTTCTTGCTTCCAAAACCTCTCGTAAGTAAAATCATGTTTTTACTGCTTTTGTAAGTTTCTATTAAGTACAATCAATCACAAAGCATTTTCACATCAAGAATCCTGCAAAGGGTAAGGGTAATGTTCAGATATCAAAAACTAAGAGCCATCATATTAAGTATTTGGATGTAAAAGTTATGAAGAGAGGATTGTGTTTTGTTAGAGATATATGACTGGTTTGGGGGATGAGAAGGGTTTGAGAGGGGGAATTTAAAGAACTGAAATGTTTTTAAGGTAGGTATATAGTAAACTAGATTATAGGAGTTTCCAGAAACTTGAATTGATTTTTTGATGTCTATATTCATATGTTCCCAACTGGACACTGGTAGAGATGAAAGTGAAATGATTTTTGCTGATACTAATCTCAATAGGTAGAAAAACAGTAATTATACAGTCAAGTTTAAGTTTCAATTGAATATACTTTATTGATTTATTCATCTGAGAATATTAGTTGAGAATGGTCAATGCAAAACTGATGACTAATGTTTATAGTATACTTAAGTTACTGAACTCATATTATCATACACGTCTTCAAGAAATAAAGTGAAATATTAAAAAGTGTTTAACAAATTTGTATTGGGGAAAATGTGTGTGTGTGTGTGTGTGTGTGTGTGTGTGTAAATAGTTTGAGCACACTCCAATTTCTTTACTTTCTACTTTAGGCATTTTCAGTTGTAATTGGTTATTTTATAATAAGCAGAATAAAATAAGGGTTATCTCTTTTATGCAAAAGAAAGTTGTTAGCAGGAGGTACATTATGAAACAAACTGTATCTCTGTGGCTAATATCATAATAGCTTTTGGAATTTGTAAATTTGGTGACTATTAAAATGAACTTGAGTACAACTAAATATTATAGAGTAAGTCACAGAAGTCAAAAACAACTCCGGGAAGAATGATTTAGTAGTTTTCATGGCCTTTGTGATCTGTCACAATTATTTAATTTTAAAATTATTTTATTGTGGTAAGAATACTTAATATGAGGTCTATCCTCTTAATGTATCTTAATTTTTTTTTAAAAAATTAACTCCTTTCTACTTTGTCAGAATATTTATCCCCAAGAAATCAATGAAATATTTTTTTTTCCCAACAAGTGTTGGTATTTTTTATTTCCCAACAAGTGTTAAGAGGATATATATCATTATAGTGTATAAAACAATATTGTTGATTATATGTACATGTTACTCTTTTGCTTTAGTTAACTTTTATCATTAGATGATATAATCATTTTGGTGATTATAATTATTCTAAACTAAAAAATTTATTGCCCATAGTTTTTGGGAAGTTGCATATATCTGTCTCACTTCAGTTGATGGTGCTTTGTAAAAAAATGTAATTGTCCCAATCTGTAATTGGGACCATTTAAAAAAGGCAAAAATTATTGTTTGTGCAAATGAGGGTATTTATAGATAAAGCAGCTGTTAGAGTATTGGTGTTTACCACAATTAACTTCTTATTATTAAAATTTTACCAAATAGCCATATAAAACTGATTTATTCACTTCATTTGAGCATATTGCAGTTCCTTGCCATAGCCATAGAGTAGTACTTTTGACAGACTAAATAATGAAACAGAACAGGACTTTTTAAACAAGGACCCAGATAAACTGCACAAATTGAAGCCTGAAGAGAAGCCCCTATAATTTACTGTTGGTCTGTTGGCTTCAGTGTCATAGGTTTCTACTCGGAGGATTTTGTGATAAAGGAGATAAACATGAAATCTATAGATTTCTGGGATTGAGACAGATATTCATGCTCCTTTCTACTTTGTCAGAATATTTATCCCCAAGAAAGCAATGAAATCAGTTTTTTCCCCAACAAGTGTTGGTATTTTTCTTTTCTGTGAAAAGCATGTAGTGTTAAATCTAGTATAGAACTCTGGATTGACAGAAAAATCACAAAAGTTGAAGTAGTAGGACTTATAAAACAAGTGAACTATGTCAAAGGTAGTGTTCAGAGAATGGATTGGTTATTGATGCCAAAAGTTCAGACAGACTGCAGATTCTTAAAATTATAAGCTCATCAGACAAGGCTGTAACCTTGGGGGAGTGGATTGCTAAACTAGAGAGGAGGCTTTGGAAACAAAGAGATGGAATCTCACAGTAGTGGATATTGAAAAGACCTATTTTATGTTTACTCCAATGAATGAGAAAAAGAAATACACCCAGACAAATCATTTTGAAATTTTAGAGTACTCAGATTAGAAAGGAAAAAACAAGCTACTCAACAGACAGAAATAAAGAAAGCATTTAACTTTTCATCAAAATTGTTGGTTGCTATAGGATAATGAAGACATTTTCTCCAAGATTGAAGGGAAATTCTTTTCAGCTTAGAATTCTGCATCCTGCTAAATTGGTAGTCAACAAGCAATGCTGAATAAACACATACTCTCAGTGTCACAAATTAGGGCTGAACAATTACACATAACAAATTTGTATAACTTCAGGTAGGCGTTTGAAAAATGGAAAGGATAACTAATACATTGGACTTTTCTATATCCTAGAAGATTTTAACATGCTAGAGAGAGTGGATGAATCAAATAAGATCAAGTTTAAAAATAACTTCCTTATCCATTTTAATTATTTTGCTTTCACATACAATAGTAGTTGTACATGGGGAAAAGGATTGGGCCTTCAAAAAGCCTTTCTTTTTATATCTGTCAAAAGAAAGTTTAGTGATCTTGAACTGTGTTCATAAAATATCTTCAGAACAAGGGATGTGAGAGTCTTGTTTTACTTCATCTTGGTAGTCCATATCTTTGTTCTTTTGTCATTCAGCAGACATATTAGATACAAAGACAGTTGTAGCTCTTGTGTAGTTACTGGACTAGTATTGGGAGAGACAAACAGGTGAAGAGAATCACTAATAGAATGTCTGATGTGCTTACGGAAGCATGCGCTAAGTGCTATTAGATTCCAATAGAATGAGACTCCACAGGAGATTTTTATCTGTAAAGAGTCTTGAGGAATGAGTTGGACATTCAGGTGGAGGGCATTCCAGGAAGAGGGAAAGGTATCTTCACATGTTTAGTAAAGCATGAGGTTTTTAGAGATCAGTGAATTGTCTTTTGAGTGTCTGAAACATCATATTTAGGGGCTCTGAGACAGTCCTTTAATGAAGCCAAGAAATTTAGGACAATTGATGATTGTAATGATCAAATCTAAAGCTGTCCGATGCTTAAGTCATGCCTCTATGAGCAGTTTAAATAATGAAGTGATTCATTAATCCACTACTATTAATATTTATTAAGGAATTATCAAGGGACATCATGATTATTCTATAAATGCAACTTTTAAAAAATCTTTTAAATGTAAGTGTAGATAAACTTCCCTAGTGTCTACTAATACCAAAGTGGTTGTATATTTAGACTATTATATCTACTGAAAATGTTCATATTATTTCTTCCAACTTAGGATCTAAAAAGCATTCATGTACTTTTTTTATCTTACATTTATAATTTCCAAATACCATAAATTATATAGATGCATTGTTTATGATATGAATACAAACATTATTTATATTGATGTTTTTCAGATGTTCTAGCATGATATTGATATGATGCATTTTTGTGCCATGTTTAAATAAAAATATTCTTTTTTTCACTTGTTGAGTAGAGTGACAATTGACTTGGTTCTGATTATCCAAATTTCTTTTATTTGGAAACTGAAATGGTTATTTCCACTGAGCTGCCATTACAAGATGCAAAGAAAAAGAGATAAACAAATTGAATGTTCACTTTGGCAGCCTTTTTGATTACTAGTATTTTTAAAATGCTTCTCTCTTTAAGCTATTTTATAAGTAGAATTTTTTATTTCTTCTTTCCATGAACTATATAATCTGGAAAGACTCCAAGGACAATATTAATCATATTAGAATGCTAACACTAAGAAAATGTTAATAATCAAAATAATGCTTTATACATTTTTGACACATTGATTCCTGTTAATTCTTCATAATCTGAAAAAAGTTAACTTAAGAATATTTTTCATCTTTCAGAATACCAAGTCTAATTTTTCATTTTAGAAAAATTTAGTTTTCTTTTTTCCCCTGAATGTTTATTGGGAAAAGAAGTTCATAATTTAAAACTATAGAATGCATCATACATATTCAAATGTTTATTATGATACTGACATTTCTATTATTTAGTGACATTAATACTAGATGAGAGTAGAGTATCTATCAGATAGCTAGAATTTTATGTATATTTTGGTTTTTCATTGCATTTTAGATTTTTAATTTGTTTTACTCTACACTTTTGGTATTAGATGGTTTTTGGTATCAGATAGTTTTAATATTTTAGCCAATATTTTTGAGCACTAATTTTGCTCTAAATTTTAATAGTACAAAGACTAATTGCATTTGTAAAAGTCTTTGCCATACAGTGTTATATTTAATCTCCCTAACAACCTTATGAGGGGTTTTATTTTCCCTTTTATGTAAATGAAGAAATTGAAGATTGGATAATCTATTTTAACTAAAGTTATAGATGTAAAATTTTATTTTTTCTTAGAAAATAAGACCTGAGAAACTAGAGGTTTCCTTCCTAGCAAGATTGCCCTTAATTGCTCCATATGGTACTACCATCTGTTACCTGGACCATGGTTAGAGCGTTCTAATTATAAATTCTTTCTTATCCCTTTCCAATTCATTTTCTACTTGGCATCTCTGATAATAAAAACAAACAAAGAAACAAGTGAAAATCACAATGCTACCCTCTACCTAAAAAACCTTGTGTTTATGATAATACACAAACTCTTTACCAAGCATTGCAGATCTCCCTGTGTGTTATGAGTCTGACATTCTTTCAGTTCCTAGTATGGATATTTTTCTGGCCTGAGGTCTTGGTCTTTGTCATTCCCTCTACCTTAAGATCTAAGCTTTATGCACAAAATGATTAGTAATGTGGATTCTACACTCAATAGTTTAGATCTTAGCTCTGGCTTACAGTTTATCTGTATGACTTTGGAAAGATTATTTAATTGTCCATAAAACACCAGTAAATGTTTTTAAACCTATAAGATGGTAATAAAATAATATGATAATATTATATATGAATCAAATGAGCTAAACTCTTAAAAAAGCATGTGATACTTTCCTGGTAAATTGTAAGTGCTAGATAAACTTTAGCTCTGAGTATTACTTTCATTAGTATTACTACTGATGTTGCCCTCTCAGTGTGGTCCTCTATGATCATAGTATCTCAAAAAAACTCCCATTGGTCTTATCACAGCATCCTTTTTTATCTGAACCATAGTCCTTTCAAAACCTCTATTTTGTTTTTGTTTCCTGTCTTTCTCACTAGGATGAGGACCAGGATCATGTGTGTATTGTTCACTATTATCTCCCCATCACTTATCTTTCAATGGTATATATTAAATGAATGAATAGATGTAGTGTTACCTTGGATCTATTGCATCTATAAATAAGGGTAGTCTTTAGTTACTTCTCGTTCATAAAGTGAATTTCATTCCTTTGATTTTTCTCTTTCTTTTGAACCAATTTCACATGACATTTCTGTTACTTTATCTTTTAAATAGGGGAATTCTTTGCCCAATATTGGGAATTGAGATGTCTCTCTCAGAGAGATGATAGGTCCCTATTCAGATAATTCAAGTCTTTGTAAAAGTAGAAGCGAGAAGTTTAGATTTGTCCACTTTTCACTTCTCAAATTAGAGAATTTGTTGTCTACTATAGTCTACCAGGATTAAGGGAGGACCTCTACTTATAGGTAGCTAAGGCAATTTGACCTCTCTGGGGAAGAGTTCGATTCACTACTGCCTTTGTTGGCCAGCCCACAGCATTCCTGCTTTCCCATACCCAATGTAAGCTGTGAATGAGGACTAAACCCAGCACCTCCAATGAGGCATCAGGGTAGGTGCTAATTGGGGTCATCCTTCTCCCTGAACAACTTAGCCCCTGGCCACCTAGGCTCGAAAGTACTACTGGTGTTTTGCTGAAAACCCTGTCCATATATTCCCCAGTGGTAAGTTGTGATCTATTTTTACACTTTCTTTTTGTTGATAGGTTTTCCTGGACGTACTTGAACATGCCTTGTTTCCAGATCTTGGAATACCTTCATGGTGATTTAACGGAAGCTGGTAGTCTATTTAATTCCAGTCATACTGATAATCTATCTTCTGGAGGAAGTCCTGGCCTCATAGTGGCATAGTAATTCTTAATGGGTGATGGCAGAAACAGTGTTCATTCTTCTGTCATCATACCATCTTTCTCAGACCCCGCTGAGCACTTTGAGGGCAGAGGCTTTTGCTTTATTCTTGATTTTATCCCCAGTGTCTTAAAGAGAGTTACATAAATGAGAGTTACATAAATGAATGAAAGCATGGAATAAATACCAGTATGGGTTTAATATGTTGGATCTGAAGATTAGCTTGAATAAACTAGATTTAGAGGATTCTAAAACTGTACTTTATCATCATCATCATCATTCTTCTTTCTCCATCTTTACCCCTACTTCCCCACAACTGTGCTTCCTCTAAAGCATTAAACCTTCAGTGACATTTACAAAGAAATGTAAAAACTATTATCTCTGATTTTGGGGTGTCGGGAGTATAGGGGGAGCTCTGAGAGAAATGGCGTGACAGCAAAAGAGAATACCAGGGTTTTGCATGTTCTATGGTAGGTAGGTATGCCTACCCCATGTATTGTACTCTAAATATAGCTGAAAAGGAGAATGAGTAAAAGAGTGCTTAAGACAGAGCCTAGTGCATATTAGCTTCTATGGTAGAGAAGTCAAAGATTTTTAAGGATAGATGAAATTAAAGCTAGGTTCTTCCTGAGGAATAGGGAGGATTTGGACAGGTGGGGAAGTATGTATATTATGAATTCCTGCTCTGACATTTAATTTGTTTTGTGATCCTTGGCAGGTCACCAAAATTCTCTGTGCTTTGTTTTTCTTTTTATAGAAGGGGCTATTGCAATAAAAATGCTTGAAATAGTTGGTGCCCAGCAAATAACAGTTGCTTTTATTATATATGTTATTGCCACAACTGCCTTCATCATTGTTGGTGGAGGCATCACCATCAACATCATCATTACCACTGTCATTGTCACAGACAATACAAGGAATCTAGTTCTCTTGGAACTGAGGTTTCAGGGAAAAGAGGGAAACAAAATTTTTGTTCAGATAGAGTCTTACTATAAAATCTCTCTTCAAATTAAAAACTATTAAAAAAAGAAGAAAACGTTGAATAGAAATTTTTATTTCCCATCAATTTTCCAAAACAAAGTAATAATGCCAGATTTTCTGAAACAAAGTAATAATACCAGCTCATACTTTTGCAATGGTTGTTTTCTTACTTTTTAAGAAAAAGTAGTTTTTAAAAAGTCAAAATTTGGGTGATTTTATTGTACTTTTTATTAGGTAAATGGTAAAGAGGAACGATCTACCTTTGCATTTAGATTTGAAATTGTTAAATTATTGATGCAGAAAACAGCAACAGTAAAGTATGTTTTAAATGAAATTAACTGAAATCGTATATATTATAAAAAGAATTCTTTTTTTTTTTTAGTTTTAGTATTTGTGTCAAGGTTAGTGATAGTTGACTTAGTTTTAGCTAGTAAATATATGTAAATAAGCATTTTTATTTCTTCTTTTATTTATGTTTATTTATTATTTTTCTTTTTTAGAACGATATCGCATTCAGAGTGAACAATTTGAAGATCTTTGGCTCATAACAAATGAACTTATTCTCCGCCTTCAGAAATATTTTGAAAAACAGGGAATCAAAGATTTTGCATCTTCTTTTTCCGGATCCATACCCCTTCAAGAATATTTCGAGTTGATTGATCATCATTTTGAGGTGTGTATGATTATAACCCACATCATCTATAATCCCTAAATATGTGAAAGAACTGCTATAGAGTGAGAATTCTAGCATAGATGCTAGTAGGCTACATGCTTTGAGTTATTCCTATGCTGATGGTAGGTTTCGCAAATTCATTCCTGCCCTCTTGCCTAGTTTGTGATCAGTTGCAGACATTTACAGAGTGGCTGCCTGGAGCTAAGCACGTGGTCTGGCCTTGAAACAGAGCTGATTTAATTCTCCCACATGGGGACTTAACCCTTGACCCCAATAACCTAGTGTTAAAACTGTTCAAGCTTATGGGCATCCATTTGGCTAACTAATTCTAGCAGGCCATAAATGAGGTGTGATTACAAAGTAAAGTGCTTTTTTTTTTTTTTTTCCTTTTTTTAACAAGCACAGTAGAGCTTCTGCATCTGCATGAAGGTTAACTACTTAAAATATTCTCTGGTACCTGGCATAATTGATGTGTAGTAAATGATGAATGATTAAATGTCTAAATAAATGAGATTTGACAGTGCCTTCATTGCTTTCTGGTGTTGAATCTTCATCTGTTGAAGATTAATTTGGTATTTGGAAAGAGACATGTTTTGTGAATGGGTTGGACAATGACCGTCATCATTCAAAAAATTCTATATATTAAAAATAAAGCCAGGAGGCTCCAATTACTTTACCTATATTATAAACAGACTATTATAGGCAGTACAAAATAGGAAGTTTGAAAGAACTTTGAACATTATTCAAAAGCATTGATTCCTAGAGTGACTAATTTTTAAGGACTAATAGATATTTCAGTTTATAAACTATGATATGTATGTGTGAGAGAGAGAGACAAATGAGATGATTAGTCATGCAACTTATCAGTCATCCCTTGAACATTCTAAGACCACTGACTTTCACCTATCAAGACTTCTTTTAATGTAGTATGAACTTGAAGGGGAAATTTCAGATACATGTAATTCATTTATGAATAATCATGTCATTATCACATAAATTGAATTAATTTGGGTTTTTTTCATCTGTTGTGATAGTATTTTCTAGGACAGTATGTATTTGTCCAAATTGTGGCACCAAATTTGTAGTTTGGGGGAGAATGTTCAGGTATTTTAAGGATTGACAAATCTTTTTTTCTTTTTCTTTTTCTAGTATAAATAGATTTTTTTTTAATTTTTTATTGTTGGTTGTTCAAAACATTACATAGTTCTTGACATCTCATATTTCACACTTTGATTCAAGTGGGTTATGAACTCCCATTTTTACCCCGTATACAGATTGTAGAATCATATCAGTTACACATCCATTGATTTACATGTTGCCATACTAGTGTCTGTTGTATTCTGCTGCCTTTCCTATCCTCTATTATCCCCCCTCCCCTCCCCTCCCCTCCCCTCCCCTCTTCTCTCTCTACCCCCTCTTCTGTCACTCATTTCTCCCCCTTGTATTATTTTTCCCTTTCCCCTCACTTCCTCTTGTATGTAATTTTGTATAACCCTGAGGGTCTCCTTCCATTTCCATGCAATTTCCCTTCTCTCTCCCTTTCCCTCCCACCTCTCATCCCTGTTTAATGTTAATCTTCTTCTCATGCTCTTCATCCCTACTCTGTTCCCAGTTACTCTCCTTATATCAAAGAAGACATTTGGCATTTGTTTTTTAGGGATTGGCTAGCTTCACTTAGCATAATCTGCTCTAATGCCATCCATTTCCCTGCAAATTCTATGATTTTGTCATTTTTTAATGCAGAGTAATACTCCATTATGTATAAATGCCACATTTATTTTTATCCATTCATCTATTGAAGGGCATCTAGGTTGGTTCCACAGTCTTGCTATTGTGAATTGTGCTGCTATGAACATCGATGTAGCAGTATCCCTGTAGCATGCTCTTTTTAGGTCTTTAGGGAATAGACCGAGAAGGGGAATAGCTGGGTCAAATGGTGGTTCCATTCCCAGATTTCCAAGAAATCTCCATACTGCTTTCCAAATTGGCTTTCCAAATTGCAGTCCCACCAGCAATGTACAAGTGTACCCTTTTCCCCACATCCTCGCCAGCACTTGTTGCTGTTTGACTTCATAATGGCTGCCAATCTTACTGGAGTGAGATGGTATCTTAGGGTGGTTTTGATTTGCATTTCTCTGACTGCTAGAGATGGTGAGCATTTTTTCATGTACTTGTTGATTGATTGTATGTCCTCCTCTGAGAAGTGTCTGTTCAGGTCCTTGGCCCATTTGTTGATTGGGTTATTTGTTATCTTATTGTCTAATTTTTTGAGTTCTTTGTATACTCTGGATATTAGGGCTCTATCTGAAGTGTGAGGAGTAAAGATTTCTTCCCAGGATGTAGGCTCCCTATTTACCTCTCTTATTGTTTCTTTTGCTGAGAAAAAACTTTTTAGTTTAAGTAAGTCCCATTTGTTGATTCTAGTCATTAACTTTTGTGCTATGGGTGTCCTATTGAGGAATTTGGAGCCCGACCCCACAGTATGTATATCGTAGCCATCTTTTTCTTCTATCAGACGGCGTGTCTCTGATTTGATATCAAGCTCCTTGATCCATTTTGAATTAACTTTTGTGCATGGCAAGAGAAAGGGATTCAGTTTCATTTTGTTGCATATGGATTTCCAGTTTTCCCAGCACCATTTGTTGAAGATGCTATCCTTCCTCCATTGCATGCTTTTAGCCCCTTTATCAAATATAAGATAGTTGTAGGTTTGTGGATTGATTTCTGTGTCCTCTATTCTGTACCATTGGTCCACCCGCCTGTTTTGGTACCAGTACCATGCTGTTTTTGTTACTATTGCTCTGTAGTATAGTTTGAAGTCTGGTATCGCTATACCGCCTGATTCACACTTCCTGCTTAGCATTGTTTTTGCTATTCTGGGTCTTTTAGTTTTCCATATGAATTTCATGATTGCTTTCTCTATTTCTACAAGAAATGCCGTTGGGATTTTGATTGGCATTGCATTAAACCTATAGAGAACTTTTGGTAATATCGCCATTTTGATGATGTTAGTTCTGCCTATCCATGAACAGGGTATATTTTTCCATCTTCTAAGATCTTCTTCTATTTCTCTCTTTAGGGTTCTGTAGTTTTCATTGTATAAGTCTTTCACCTCTTTTGTTAGGTTGATTCCCAAGTATTTTATTTTTTTTTGAGGATATTGTGAATGGAGTGGTTGTCCTCATTTCCATTTCAGAGGATTTGTCGCTGATATACAGGAATGCCTTTGATTTATG